GGGCTCGACGCACAGGAGGGGCGGGGCTAGACGGGGGCGGGGCTGATGAAAGGGGTGGGTCTAAGGAGGCTCGAAATGTGCGGGGTGGGAGGGGGGAATCACTGCCGGAGGCGGGGCTTGCCGCTAGCCAATTAAAGGGCCTGGTCGTGATTCCGTTAGTTCACTGGCTAGGAGGGCGGGAAGCGCGCTCCTGCGCCCCGCCTTCCAGAGGGTGCCGGCGGGGGACCCAGTGTCTCTTTTCGGTCTTGAGGGCTCTAAGGCTGCTCCCTTTTACCAGGATGTTAAGGCAGTTGGGGCGAACGTTTCTTCAGATGGTAGCCGGCCAGGTATCCTTTCAATGTGAAGGATGAAGCGGAGGGGTTTCCCTCGTTTGGAGAAGGTAGCCCTTTCCATTTTGGAACAGAAGTGAGGTGGATTCCACTCAGCCTGGGGGAAGAGGTGGGGAAGAGGATCTTTTCAAAATTCACTGCCATCGGGTCGGTGCCGACTCATAGCGACCCTGTGGGACAGGGTGGAACCGCCCCTGTGAGTTTCCAAGGCTTCAACTCTTTATGGGAGTAGAAAGTCCCATACGTCTTTCACAGAGTGGCTGGTGGTTTCCAACCGCTGACCTTGCAGTTAACAGCCCCACATGCCACCAGGGCCCTTTTTTTTTTTTAGGGCTCTTTTTAGTTCTGGGAAATGGTGGGTGACGCCCCGTGTGAAGGGGAAAGTAAAACATGCTCCCTTCAGTTTCAGGGAGAAGCGCCCCTGAGTTTGTATGGAAATTGAGATGGGCCTCTTCAGCTTGGGGTGAGAGGAGGACACCCCTTAGATTTGAAGAAAACCTTGGGAGAATCCCCTGTTAATTTGAAGGGAATAGATGGGCGGGGTTTTCTACACCAAACTCACTGCCATCGAGTCAATTCTGACTCGTAGCGACCCTGTATAGTTCGGGCAAAAGGTGAAATAAGTTCCCCTCGGTTTCCTGGAACACGCGAGAAGAGAAAACAGTATGTGAGGGATGGGCCGCCCCCTCAGCTTGGAATGAGCTGGGCCCAGTTCGGGCATTGGGGTTTCTGGGCACCGCCTAGTCCACCGCAGCTTTTTGGACGAGCCCAGTGCGCGTGCGCGGCGCTGGAAGGGCTTTGCCGGCCAGAGGGGGTCCCCGCCGGCCCGTGCGGGCACTGCGCAAGGCGGCCGCGCACCGCCCCCTGCCGACCGCGCGAGGCGCACCTGGAGCCGGGTGGGCGGGGCCACTGGGCTGGTGGCCCGCGTCCGGCCTTCCCCGCCCCGCCCTGCCGACTTTGGCCCCTCTGGTGGGCGTGATGCCTCTGTACCCCGTGAGGGTCGTGCACGCACGCAGTTCTGAATCTCGGTTGGGGGGACATTGGGGGAATCCGTAGGTTTCAGGACTTGAGGGGCGAGAGCTGCCCTGGGGGGTTTTAGGAGCAGAGGAGGGTTTAGAGGCAAGAGGGAAAGGTATTCCATACTACAGCTGCGTGGGGCATGGTCTCGATTCCAGACCTGGCTTGGGGGTATCCGAGCTGGGATTGGGGGGAGCGGGCCCCACGTGCCTGTGACGCGGGGGCGCTGGGTAGGCGGCGGCGGCGGCGGCGACGCGAGGCTGGCGGCCGTGCCGTGTCGGGAGGGCGGCTGGGCAGGCGGCAGGATGCTGCGCACCGCGCTGTCCCTGTTGGGATTGTCCCTGGCGGGGGTCGAGGCAGCCGGAGAACCCACCCAGGAGCCGGGGCCGCGCAGCGAGCCTCCCCCGGGCTTGGCGCTCTTCCGCTGGCAGTGGCACGAGGTGGAGGCGCCCTACCTGGTGGCCCTGTGGATCCTGGTGGCCAGCCTGGCCAAGATAGGTGAGTCTGTGTGCGTGCGCCAGGCCGGCGGCTGACAGCGGACCTGCTCTCGGCCTCCGGGTCCCCAGAGGCTTCTCGCACGGTGCGGAGTTATTAAAGCCAGGCGCGCGCCCAGTTCCTCCTCTTTTCCTCTCGTGGGAGCTCCGAGAGGATTCGCCTTCCCCAAGGGCTGCCCCGGCGCTCTCTGCCCTGGACTCCTCCCAGAAGAAGCCCTCGCTGTGCCCCAGCACCTCAGGACCTCCTGTCCCCTGGGGCCATTAGGGGAAGATATTCTCCAGCGAACCTAGACATTTCGATCCCCAGGAAGCAGCCCTCCCGGACGACCTCCTGGGAGACAAAGCTCCCACGTTTGTTTCCTCTTAGACACCCCCCCTCCCCCGCGTGCGCCCCTCTTAAAGAGGCCCCTTTTTGTGCTTAGCGGGGGGTCTCTTTCTCCGCCAATCAGATCTGCAATCGTCCACTTCACACGGAGGGAACTTCCGTCTTTGGAGCTTCGGGCACTGGGTGCGCTCAGACCCCCCACCCGCCTCCTGCCCTCACACAGAAGAGGGCTCCGCAAACTGCCCCTGAATAGAGCTGTTTTGCCTCGGCTCGGCTCTACCCCTTCCTCCCCCACAGTACGCCACCACCCCCCCACCGCCTGCAGCAGCAGTGGTCCCGCCGCCCACCAAGAACCCCTCCCTCTCCCTGTTGTGCAGGCTCCTCAGTAGGGTGACTAATTATAGCTGAGCGTTGCTGCGCGTCTAAGCGGGCACTGCCTGTACTCCAGTCTCCCCATACGAGCCGTCAAATCAGAGTCACTTAGCTGAGAATTTGAGCCCCTTTCAGGCCCTTCCCCCCACCCCCCACCCCCAGCCCATAACACCCTGCTGGTGTGGTCCCGAGTGGGGTCCGGGGAGGAGGGCGGGGGCTGGGCGGGAGCTGAAGTCGCCCCTGGGCGCTGGCGGCTGGGACTAATAAGAATGGAAAGTGTCACGAATGCTTCAGGACCCCGGTTGACAAACAGGCTTCCATGCGGGCCCTGGATGGAGGGGTGAGGTGCAGACTCAGAGATGAGTATGGAGCAAGGACCCTGGCCGCAGGGAAGGGGGCGGCAGCCGTGGGAGCTTGCAGCATCTGTTGATGCCAACCTCGGGAGGCCCCGAGCGCCTAGAACACAGTGGGAGAAGTCTCCGATTTGGAAGCTGAGAACTGGGTTCGGGGAAAAGTTGCGGGAGTTGCGCGAGGCCTCCCAGTTTACTTACACTTTTAGAGCGACAACTGTGGTTTCCCCCGTACATCAGAGTGCTTTTTCTGTCCCCGGTGACACATCCTTTGGAGGCAGAAGAGCCTCAGCTCCGTGGCTAAAAAAAAATCTTCCGAGAGGAGGGGAAAGAGAGGCAGACGGTTCAGGGACCGGTTCCCTGGCTGGGTTGTTTTCTTATGGTCACCAAATCTCTGCCCTAGAACCTCTGGGTACAATTGCCAATGGCACAGCCTGAGACGAGCCATGTGGGAGCCTCTCTCAGGGATTACATGGGAAGAGATGTGATGTCCCCCTGCTCCAGAGCCAGCGTGGAGAGGTTGTTTTAGGAGGCAAACAACGGAACATCTGGAAGACTCTTCTGTAGCCCCTCCTCCCTCCTAGGGCCACATTTGTTATCTCCCCCAGGGTCGACCTTGATGCACACTTGTTGAGTATCAGCCACGGGTCCACATCATGCCCAGCTCACTCACACTTCCTATCATGCCGTTCTCGCCCTGGATTGGGTAATTTCTCCATCATTCAGGGATAACAGCCTGAGATCACACAGACAGTGAATGTGCTGGGTCAGGACCTGGGGCCCTTCTGACAGCTACCCTCACTACTTTTAAAACTCAGAGTCAATCCTTAAAGATCCCGGATAAAGAACAACAAATGAGTTAGGGGTCTGCAGGGCTCCCGGGAGGTCTAATGTGGAGTATGGCTTACCCAGGGAGGCAGGTTGTCATGGTGCAGTGATACCCACTGCCCCGGTATCATTCCAACTCACAGTGACTCTACAACAGAGTAGAACCACCCCATGGGCTTTCCAAGGTGGTGACCTTAGTTGCCCAATCTTTCCCCCACCCACAGGATGCTCAGTAGCCTCAAACAGCCAACTTTTGGGTTTACAGCTAAGCACTTCAACACTGCACTCATGTCATACTAATTTGAAAAACAAAATGAAAATAAACTCACTGCCATGCAGTCAATTCTGATTCACAGCTGCTCTGTAGGACAGGGTAGAACCGACCCCTGTGAGTGTCCCAGACTGTAACCGTTTACAGGAGCAGACAGCCCCGTCTTTCTCCTGAGGAGCAGCTGGCAGTTCCAAGCTGCTGACCTCAGTGGTTAACAGCCCAACTTGTCCCCAGGTCCCCTGGGGACTCCTTAATAATAGGTAACATTTATTGAGGGAGGCTCAGACAGTTAAGCACTTCACTACTAACCCATGGGTTGGCATTTTGAATGCACCCAGAGGTGCTCTGTTTCAGTCCGATCACAGCCATGAAAACCCCTTGGAAGGCACGTTTCCTCTGCGCCCACCGAGACACTGTGCCTCAGAACTGACTCAACAAGTGGTTTGTGTTCTGTCACATTTATCGTCATGAGGTGGTGTGCTAAGTACTTTTGAGTAACTACCTTATTTAATGCTTGTGTTAGTCAGGGTTGACTAGAGAAACAAGTTCATAGACACTCATCTGTGAATAAGAAAGAGCTCTATATACAAGAGCAACAGAATATTGAGAAAACATCCCACTCCAGATCAAGTCTATAAGTCCGATATTAGCCCATATGTCCGATACCAATCTATAAAGTCCTCTT